ACTGAGTGCCAGAGAATTGTTACTTAGGGCCACAGAAACTTTAGTTAGGGCCACAGAATTGTTACTCAGGGACAGACACAGAATTGTTACTGAAACGTTATTAGGGCCACAGAATTGTTACTCAGGGACAGACAGAATTGTTACTGAGTGCCAGAGAAACTGTTACTTAGGGCCACAGAAACTTTAGTTAGGGCCACAGAATTGTTACTCAGGGACAGACACAGAATTGTTACTGAGGGCCACAGAACTGTTACTTAGGGCCACAGAAACTTTAGTTAGGGCCACAGAATTGTTACTCAGGGACAGACACAGAATTGTTACTGAGGGCCACAGAACTGTTACTTAGGGCCACAGAAACTTTAGTTAGGGCCACAGAATTGTTACTCAGGGACAGACACAGAATTGTTACTGAGGGCCACAGAACTGTTACTTAGGGCCACAGAATTGTTACTCGCACAGACACAGAATTGTTACTCAGGGACACAGAATTGTTACTGAGGGCCACAGAATTGTTACTCGCACAGGACACAGAATTGTTACTCAGGGACACAGAATTGTTACTGAGGGCCACAGAACCGTTACTTAGGGCCACAGAATTGTTACTGAGGGCCACAGAATTGTTACTTAGGGGCCACAGAATTGTTACTCGGGCCACAGAATTGTTACTTAGGGCACAGAATTGTTACTCAGGGACACAGAAATTGTTACTGAGGGCCACAGAACTGTTACTTAGGGCCACAGAATTGTTACTCGGGACAGACACAGAATTGTTACACAGGGACACAGAATTGTTACTGGGCCACAGAACCGTTACTTAGGGCCACAGAACCGTTACTTAGGGCCACAGAATTGTTACTGTTAGGGCCACACACAACTGTTACTTAGGGCCACAGAATTGTTACTCGGGACAGACACAGAATTGTTACTCGGGGACACAGAATTGTTACTCGGGGACACAGAATTGTTACTGAGGGCCACAGAATTGTTACTCGGGCCACAGAATTGTTACTCACAGACACAGAATTGTTACTCAGGGACACAGAATTGTTACTGAGGGCCACAGAACCGTTACTTAGGGCCACAGAAATTGTTACTCAGGGACACAGAATTGTTACTGAGGGCCACAGAACCGTTACTTAGGGCCACAGAATTGTTACTCAGGGACACAGAATTGTTACTGAGGGCCACAGAATTGTACTTAGGGCCACAGAATTGTTACTCAGGGACACAGAATTGTTACTCAGGGACACAGAATTGTTACTCAGGGACACAGAATTGTTACTCAGGGACACATAATCGTTGAATTAAAGAGTATGTCAGACAACATGCAGAGGAGTGGTTGAGAGGAGGCAATGTTTTAGGAGCGAGCAGACGTGGCAGCAGAGTGGCAGCAGAGGAAGGGTCGTCGAGGCAGCACTATTCGCAGCCAGAGGCCAGTGCTCCCGGTGTCATCCAGCGGTCGTGTCTCCACCGACAACCCTGCCGTCATCGATTGGTTGGCTCGGTCGTCTTCCTCTTCCCAGGTCACCTCTGACACCTACAGCCAACGGTCGGTGGGTACGTCAGACACAACCGTTAGTTGGCATGGCCCGGGAGCAAGCCCACTGAAATCACATGTCCTCTACCTGCCCCTGTCCTTTGCTGTTCCCTCACCAAGCGAAGTATCGCATGCTGTGGGCTCAGCCCCACTGTACAGTGAGGAAGAGCTAACAGAGGGCGGTCAGGAACGGGGGGAGACATCCGCCTTTTCAGCAGCCAGGCGAAGAAGTACTGGCGAGGAGAGTGGCTCGGTAGCCGGTCTAGAGACAGGTCTGTCTCCTGACCCACGCGCAGCCGAGGGGGCTAGTAGTGAGGCGGAGACCCTACTTGATGATGAGGAGGTTGATCGCACTTGGCTGCCTCGTCGTCATCAGGCAATTTCTTCCGCATCATCAGGAGAAGAGGGTGCCAGCTTGGCAGCGAGCGAAACAGTCGGTGGGTTGCCCAGGAGGCAGCAGGGTCGCATCAGTGTCAGTGGAGCCAAACGTCCACGGAGTAGAGCACCAGCTCCACTGCAGCCTACCACCACGGCCAGTAGTGGTGCCGGTGCGCACGGAGGAAGTAGCAGTCAGCCAGTGAGGAGTAGCGGGGGGCAAAGTTTCCTACTCGGTGGTGTGGCAATTTTTCGTCAAGCCGCCCGAGGAAGTAAACGTAGCCGTATGTCGACTATGTGGCCAGAAATGCAAGCGTGGCCAGGGGGCCCATGTTGGGACTACAGCGTTGCGTCAGCATATGCAGCGTCACCATTCGGTGGCCTGGGAAAACCGTGATAAAGATACGGCGGTTCTGCCTGCCCCAGCCCCCGCTCCATCACCCGCTCCGTTACTTGCTCCGTCACCCGACGTCGTCAATCACCCCCTCTATCAGCCAGTCAAGGCTCCAACACCTCTGCTGAGGGGAGTTGTCGCTCGTTGGCATCTTCCGCTCGTTCAGATGCTCCTTCTCCTGCTACTCCTCTTCTCGGATTCCGTCAACAGTCTTTCTTGGAATCCGTTTCCAAGAGACAACAGTTTGCGAGCACGCACCCGACGGTGCAAAAGCTGAACGTCCTCCTGTCCAAGTTGCTGGTGCTGCAGTCCCTCCCTTTCCAACTGGTGGACTCAGCACCTTTCCGAGAAATGATGGCTTGTGCCGCGCCGCGGTGGAGAGTGCCAAGCCGTCATTTCTTCGCCATAAAGGCAGTGCCAGCCCTGCATTCACATGTAGAAGAGATGGTGGGCCAGTCTTTGAGCATGTCGGTCTCTGCCAAAGTGCACGGCAGCGCCGACGTGTGGAGCTGTAACTACGGTCAGGGACAGTACATGTCATTTACGGCCCACTGGGTGAACGTGGTGCCGGCACAGCCGCACCAGCAACTTGGACAGGTCACGACGCTTTTGCCTCCACGTTTGCACGTCCTTGGTCCAGCAAACATGTCCGCCTCTACCACCTCTTTTTCCGCCGTGTCCTCAGCCGCCACCCCCCCCGTGCCAAGTCCCATTACCCGACCGGCATATCACATGTGCAGGGCGCAACGGTGTCACGCTGTGCTGCACCTGGTATGCCTTGGCGAACGTAGTCACACAGGGGAGGAACTTCTGAGTGTAATGAACAGAGAAATCGACAGATGGCTGTCTCCGCGCAAACTGAAAATCGGAACCATGTTGACCGACAACGGAAAGAACATGGTGTCTGCTCTGCGTCAAGGAAGGTTGTGCCATGCGCCATGCATGGCTCACGTGTTCAATCTGGTTGTCAAGCGGTTCCTAAAATCCACCACCATCCCACTGCAAGACATCCTTAAAATGTCACGTAAACTGTGCATGCATTTCAGCCATTCCTACACCGCAAAGAACACCCTCATTGAGCTGCAGCGGCAGAACGGAATTCACAGCATCGCCTGATCTGCGACGTTGCAACAAGGTGGAATTCAACCCTACACATGTTAGACCGCCTTTACGAGCAGCGAAAGGCCATCACCGATTTCCTGATGTTACAAGCGGATAAAGGTACTCCCCTGTGTAACTTCGATGTCAGCCATTGGCAGCTCATGCGTGACACCTGCCGCTTGCTCAGGCCCTTTGAGGAGGCCACGCTATTCGTGAGTCGGCAGGACTATGGGATGAACGACGTCATTCCTCTGTTGCACGTCCTGGAACAAATGCTGTTAACAATGGCTGGTCAGGGTGCGGTAGACGTGGCGCACAGATCTCAACGCCACATGACCCCTGTGGGGGCAGGACAGGAAGAAGAGGAGGAGGTAGAGGAGGACATTTGTGCTCAGGAATTATTGAGTGAAATGGGTGGTTTTTCCACTCAGCGGACAGGAGTGGAGGAGCAGGAGCATCTGGTAGAGGAGGAGGAGGAGGAGACAGAGGACCCAGACGCACCGTGGCAGTATGCTGTGGAGATGGAGGCAGGGAGTCCCTCGCATTCCTTGGCACAAATGGCCCATAGCATGCTCGGTTGCTTGCGTAGCGACAGCCGAATAATAACCATCAGACAGAGGGATGACTTTTGGCTGTCCACCTTGTTGGACCCTCGCTATCGTTCCAAAATGGTGGCCTTTTTCACACCTGCTGAGAGGGAGGCCAAAATTACGTACTATAAAAACCACCTATGTAGTCAGTTGGTCTCTGCCTTTGTGCGCCAACGTCCATCCTCAGACACTGTGGGCCCTGTGCGCTCGCGTTCCGCTGCCATGGCAGCAGGGGAGGGGGGGGGGTGGTAGGAGCAGTGGCAGCTCCACCAGCAGCGGCTGCCTCAGTCTGCAGTCGATGATGAGTAGCTTTCTTCACCAGCGCAGTGAGGAAACTACTAACCAGCCGCAGCAGCAGCAGCAGCATCAGGTGGACCTGGAGCAGGAGCTCTCAACAACAGGCTTGGGCCTACTTGGACAGCACCCTGCCAACCGAGGTAGACAATCCCCTTGACTACTGGGCAACGAAACTTGACCTTTGGCCCCAACTAGCTGAATTTGCCCTTGAAAGGCTGTCATGCCCGGCCAGTAGCGTGGCATCGGAGCGCGTGTTTAGTGCGGCAGGAGGTATTGTAACTCCGCGGAGGACACGACTGTCCACCCAAAGTGTGGAGAGACTCACGTTTGTGAAAATGAATCAGGCGTGGATTAGTCTGGATTTCAAACCACCAGTTCCTGACACAACTGACTAAATCCGCCATGAATCATGCCCCTGCCATGTGCCACTTTCAGGTCTCCTCACACACTGCTGGTGTAGGGTTCCATTTTTTGTGCTGCATAGGGGCCCCCTGCTGGCAGATTACGGGCCTCCCATTGCTGCTGTCTCCATCGCCACACTCTGCCATGTGCCACATTCAGGTCTCTCACACACTGCTGTTGTGTTGAATTTTTTGACATAGGGTGCTGGCAATTACGGGCCTCCCATAGCTGCTGCCAGGCCCCTAATCTGCCATGGGCCCCTATATACCGCCTCCTCATGCTGCTGCCAAGTCCAGAGTCTCTCATGGGTCCCTGTACGGCCTCCCATTGCTGCTGTCTCCATCGCCACACTCTGCCATGTGCCACATTCAGGTCTCTTCACACTGCTGGTGTGTTTGAATTTTTTTTTTGACATAGGGTGCTGGCAGATTACGGGCCTCCCATAGCTGCTGCCAGGCCCCTAATCTGCCATGGGCCCCTATACCGCCTCCTCATGCTGCTGCAGTTGCAAGTCAAGGTGTCATGGGTCCCTGTAACGGCCTCCCATTGCTGCTGCCTCCGATCAGCCAAGTGCCATCAGCAGTTTCACTGATGTTAAAAGCGGACAAAGGTACTCCCTGTGTAACTTAGATGTCAGCCATTGGCAGCTCATGCGTGACACCTGCGCTTGCTCAGGCCCTTTGAGGAGGCCACGCTATTCGTGAGTCGGCAGGACTATGGGATGCAGGTCCCTAAATCTGCCATGGGCCCCCGTACCGCCTGGTCACGCTGCTGCTGGTCCCACAGTGTGACTCATGGGTCCCTGTACGGCCTCCCATTGCTGCTGTCCCATCGCCACACTCTGCCATGTGCCACTTTGAGGTCTCCTCACACTCCTGCGGTTTTTTTTTGTCATAGGTTGCTGGCAGATTACAGGCCTCCCATAGGTGCTGCCAGGCCCCAAATCGGCCATGGGCCCCCGTACCGCCTGGTCATGCTGCTGCTGAGTCCACAGTGTGACCTGGGTCCCTGTACGGCCTCCCATTGCTGCTGTCCCACTCTGCCATGTGCCACTTTGAGGTCTCCTCACACTCCTGCGGTTTTTTTTTTTGTCATAGGTTGCTGGCAGATTACGGGCCTCCCATAGGTGCTGCCAGGCCCCAAATCGGCCATGGGCCCCCGTACCGCCTGGTCACGCTGCTGCTGAGCCCACAGTGTGACCTGGGTCCCTGTACGGCCTCCCATTGCTCCCACCCACTGCCATGCCATGTGCCACTTTGAGGTCTCCTCACACTCCTGCGGTTTTCCATTTTGTCATAGGTTGCTGGCAGATTACAGGCCTCCCATAGGTGCTGCCAGGCCCCAAATCGGCCATGGGCCCCCGTACCGCCTGGTCACGCTGCTGCTGGGCCCACAGTGTGACCTGGGTCCCTGTACCGGCCTCCCATTGCTCCCACTCTGCCATGTGCCACTTTGAGGTCTCCTCACACTCCTGCGGTTTTCCATTTTGTCATAGGTTGCTGGCAGATTACAGGCCTCCCATAGGTGCCGCCAGGCCCCAAATCGGCCATGGGCCCCCGTACCGCCTGGTCACGCTGCTGCTGGTCCCACAGTGTGACCTGGGTCCCTGTACGGCCTCCCATTGCTCCCACTCTGCCATGTGCCACTTTGAGGTCTCCTCACACTCCTGCGGTTTTCCATTTTGTCATAGGTTGCTGGCAGATTACAGGCCTCCCATAGGTGCCGCCAGGCCCCAAATCGGCCATGGGCCCGTACCGCCTGGTCACGCTGCTGCTGAGCCCACAGTGTGACCTGGGTCCCTGTACGGCCTCCCATTGCTTCCACTCTGCCATGTGCCACTTTCAGGTCTCCTCACACACTGCTGTTGTGTTTTCCATTTTGACATAGGGTGCTGGCAGATTACGGGCCTCCCATAGCTGCTGCCAGGCCCCAAATCTGCCATGGGCCCCTATATACGTACCGCCTCCTCATGCTGCTGCTGCAAGTCCAGAGTGACTCATGGGTCCCTGTACGGCCTCCCATTGCTGCTGCCAGGAGGCAGCAGGGTCGCAGCAGTGTCCACTGGAGGCAAACGGCCACGGAGTAGAGCACTCACAGCTCCACTGCAGCCTACCACCACGGCCAGTAGTGGTGCCGGTGTGCACGGAGGAAGTAGCAGTCAGCCAGTGAGTGCCAGGGGGCAAAGTTTCCTACTCGGCGGTGTGGGCAATTTTTCGTCAAGCCCGCCCGAGGAAGTAAACATAGCCGTATGTCGACTATGTGGCCAGAAAGTCAAGCGTGGCCAGGGGGCCCATGTTGGGACTACAGCATTGCGTCAGCATATGCAGCGTCGCCATTCAGTGGCCTGGGAAAACCGTGATAAAGATACGGCGGTTCTGCCTGCCCCGGCCCAGGGTTCCATTTTGTCATAGGTTGCTGGCAGATTACAGGCCTCCCATAGGTGCCGCCAGGCCCCAAATCGGCCATGGGCCCCCGTACCGCCTGGTCACGCTGCTGCTGAGCCCACAGTGTGACCTGGGTCCCTGTACGGCCTCCCATTGCTTCCACTCTGCCATGTGCCACTTTGAGGTCTCCTCACACTCCTGTGCTTTTCCATTTTGACATAGGTTGCTGGCAGATTACAGGCCTTCCATAGGTGCCGCCAGGCCCCAAATCGGCCATGGGCCCCCGTACCGCCTGGTCACGCTGCTGCTGAGCCCACAGTGTGACCTTTCAGGTCTCCTCACACTCCTGCTGGTTTCCATTTTGTCATAGGTTGCTGTATGGCCTCCCATTGCTGCTGCCTCCACTGCCACACTGTGGCTCCAAACACTGGTTTTGGCCCCGTGACTGACCAAATGAGTGAAATGTGCGGTGATTCTAAGATCGACGGCACTCATCTGCATGTCATACTGACTGACAGTATTATTTCTCTTCCCCAGCAGACTCCAAGGGCATTTAAATTAAAGGTACAGTGTTCTGCACTAATATTAAGTCTCTCTGAAGCCTAGAAACACCCTTTTTTAAGTTAAATTCACAGCGAATATATTCGACTCGAATCGAATATTGTCCACGAATTCGCCGAATCAGTCGAATCGAATTTTTCAATTCTTCGCTCATCTCTAGTGTTAGTGATGTATCCCTGGATACCAAATGCATTTAATACATCATTGAGATAGCACCAAAGTATGCAATGGAATGCTTTTTCATCATACATGGATAAGAGAATGAAGGGCGTATGACTTTTCCGCCCATTGGAGAAGGTTTAGTGCTCGTCTAGTGCCATCTACTTTTTGGCGATTTTTGACAAATCCTACCTGATCCAGATGAATCAGCAGTGCGATCACGTCTTCCAATTTGGTAGCTATTATTTTGTAATAGATTATTTAGTAATAGAGATTGGTCGATAATTTGCTGGTGAAGTGGGTGATTTATCTGGTTTTGGCAGCATCGCTATGAGGGCTTCCAGATATGCCCTCAGAAAAGATGCCAAAAGAGTAGAGCTGTGAAATAAATTCTGCAAGTATGGTTACTAAAGGATTTATAGTATTCATTCCCGAAGCCATCAGGACCTGGGGATTTGTTTTGGGGGAATTTGTGAATAGTCCGCTGTATTTCTGAGTATGAGAAGTTTGTAGAGAGTTTTCTGCATTGTGATTGTGAAAGAGTCAGCAATTTCACTTTTGAAAAAACTGAGTAATTTGCGTTTCTAAAGATAAGTCAATAGATGCATCTGGACATAGACTGTAAAGGTTAGAATGAAAAGCTGCAAATTGGTTTGCAATTTGGGTGCGTTAGTGATGCAATTATTAGAAGAGATAGGCAATGCAACTTTTGGCTGTTTTCTTTTTTTTTATTTGGTTTGCTAATAAAGCGCCTCCTATATTGCTTGCAGAGTAATAATTAAATTGAAGGCATTTGAGAAGGAGGTCGTATTGAGATATGAAGCATTGAGATAGTTGGTGACAAAAAGGTTTTAATTTGTTTGGCTCTGTCTAAGGAAAAATGTATTTTGTTTTGTGTCTCAAGATTGCACAATTCACCTGAGATTTCTTGAATTAATTGTGCCTGCTGGGCCCCCAATTTTATAAAAATGCCTCTTATATATACATATATAAAAAGTCTGATATTTCTTTCTCGATCTGTTCCCGATATCTAGGATTATGTAGTATTGCTGTGTTTAATCCCCATATCCCTTTGTTAGGTGGAGAGATAGACGCCTGTACTGAGATGGAGGTCGGGGTGTGATTTGACCATGTGATTAGTCCAATTTGGAAGGAGACAGTTTGGAGCAATGTATCTCTATCTACCAGGAACAGATCAATGTGGAAGTACACCATTAAGGCTGCTGAGTAGAAGGTGTAGTCTTTTTCAGACCCGTGAAAGCCTCTCCAAGCATCATATATGTTTTCTAATTGTATTAGTTTGGATAAAATCTGTGATTTCTGTCTGTTGGGATTGGTGGAGTTATGTTCTTTGTCTGGCACTTCAATAAAGTCCCCGGCTAGTACCAGGCGACCTATACGGATCTTCTGTATTTTTTTCATTAGAGCCTGGAAGAATGCTTGTGGTTTGATGTTAGGTGCATACAATGTAACTAATGTGTATGGTTGATGATTTATTAGAGCCCCTAAAATGATATATCTGCCATTCTTGTCACATTCTATGAATTGTTGGGAGAAGACCACTGTGTCCCTTATTGCGATCATGACCCCTCTTTTTTTTCTGCTTTCACAAAATAGCAATGAGGAGATTTGGGGTGCAATATTTTTAATGGAGAGGATGTGCGCAAATGTGTCACTGTTTAGTTGTAAGGCTTCCCTCCACATCATGGACCTCTTAAATGAACTATTGAGGTGGGAGTTACATTTGTTCGTTTTGCATCCATCTGTCGATGAATGAAAAACAAACCTTAATGTATCTCTATGGAAAAACATATGTAAACGGATGATCATCCGTCTAAGGAAAAATGGATGTAAACTGACAAATGGTCCATTTTTGCACTGGTAGTGGATGTAAAAAACTGATGTAAAAGCTGGTGAAAAACTGATGTAAAAACTGATGAAAACCGATTTGTTTTGGCTGAACTGATGAAAAAAACAGAATGCCTATATAAAAGGACCCTTACCAATGCAAAAACCGACTGTTTGTCCATTTACATCCATTTTTTTGTCTGTTCCGTTTTTTAACAAAACAAAAATGCAGAATTTAGTCCAAAAACAATTCACATTTCCTCACATTTAGAGAACTTATTTTCACAGACATGAGAGGGAGTTTTGGGATGCTTGAAGCAGCGTTGTGAGCGCAAGAACAAGTATCCAAATATACAGTCATGGCCGAAATTGTTGGCACCCTTGATATTTCTCCAGGAAATCATGTATTTCTCACGAAACGTATTGCATTAACACATGTTTTGCTATACACATGTTTATTCCCTTTGTGTGTATTGGGACAAAACAAAAAAAAGGGAGGAAAGAAAGCAAATTCGACATAATGTCACACAAACCTCCAAAAATGGGCTGGACAAAAGTATTGGCACCCTTTCACAACTGCGGATAAATAAGAATGTTACAAGCATGTGATGCTCCTGTAAACTCACCTGGGGCAAGTAACAGGTGTGGGCAATATAGAAATCACACCTGAAAGCAGATAAAAAGGAGAGACGTTCACTTAACCTTTGCATTGTGTGTGTGTCTGTCTGTGCCACACTAAGCATGGACAACAGAAAGAGGAGACGAGAACTGTCTGAGGACCTGAGAACCAAAATTGTGGCAAAATATCAACAATCTCAAGGTTACAAGTCCATCTCCAGAGAACTAGATTTGCCTTTGTCCACAGTGCGCAACATTATCAAGAAGTTTGCAACCCATGGCACTGTAGCTAATCTCCCTGGTCGTGGACGGATGAGGAAAATTGATGAAAGATTGCAACGCAGAATAGTCCGGATGGTGGATAAGCAGCCCCAAACATGTTCCAAAGACATTCAAGCTGTCCTGCAGGCTCAGGGAGCATCAGTGTCAGCGCGAACTATCCGTCGACATTTAAATGAAATGAAACGCTATGGCAGGAGACCCAGGAGGACCCCACTGCTGACACAGAGACATAAAAAAGCAAGACTACAGTTTGCCAAAATGTACTTGAGTAAGCCAAAAGCCTTCTGGGAAAACGTCTTGTGGACAGATGAGACCAAGATAGAGCTTTTCGGTAAAGCACATCATTCTACTGTTTACCGAAAACGGAATGAAATGGGCCTACAAAGAACAAAACACAGTACCTACGGTAAAATATGGTGGAGGTTCAATGATGTTTTGGGGTTGTTTTGCTGCCTCTGGCACTGGGTGCCTTGACTGTGTGCAAGGCATCATGAAATCTGAGGATTACCAAAGGATTTTGGGTCGCACTGTAGGGCCCAGTGTCAGAAAGCTGGGTTTGCGTCCAAGATCCTGGGTCTTCCAGCAGGACAATGACCCCAAACATACGTCAAAAAGCACTCAGAAATGGATGGCAAAGAAGCGCTGGAGAGTTCTGAAGTGGCCAGCAATGAGCCCAGATCTAAATCCCATTGAACACCTGTGGAGAGATCTTAAAATTGCTGTTGGGAAAAGGTGTCCTTCCAATAAGAGAGACCTGGAGCTGTTTGCAAAGGAAGAGTGGTCCAAAATTCCGGGTGAGAGGTGTCAGAAGCTTATTGATGGTTATAGGAAGCGACTGATTTCAGTTATGTTTTCCAAAGGGTGTGCAACCAAATATTAAGTTAAGGGTGCCAATACTTTTGTCCAGCCCATTTTTGGGGTTTTGTGTGACATTATGTCATATTTGCTTTTCTGCCTCTGTTTTATATTTGTTCCAATACATACAAAGGGAATAAACATGTGTATAGCAAAACATGTGTTAATGCAATACCTTTTTTGTGTGAAATACTTGATTTTCAGGAAAAATATCAAGGGTGCCAACAATTTCGGCCATGACTGTATATAATAACATTAGTAACTTTATGGTATCAGAGGTAATCACCATATTTACAGCAAGTAATAGAAAACAGGTCCTGGTGTGGAACAAAGTACATACAGTACAAACTTCTCATAAGGCAATTATAAGTAATGTATACCAGGGCTTAATATTTCAAGTCCTGAGCTACTAGCCAGGCCTTAGAGTTACTCGCAACCAACAAACACACACAAACAGACACCTGTACACACGCACATACATACAGATACATGTACATACACAGAAATACACACGCACAGACACATGTATGTACATACACACAAACACATGTACATGCACACACACAGACACATGTACACACACACATACATGTACACACACGCAGACACATGTACAGATACACCCTTGAACATACACACAGACACATGTACAATTGTACATACATAGACACACACAAACATGTACAGGTACGCACACACATATCCCCCCCATAAAAAGTTGCAGTACTTCGTTGTTCACTCACAGATCCAGGTACAGCACTCTAGGGGGAGGCAGAGAGCACAGCACACACTCCTTGCTTTGCTTTCACTGTGCTCAGCTATTGAGCAGTCTGATGGCTTCCAGTTCCAATGACAGATCCGGCCTGAGCTCCGAGCCTGCTCAACAAGACGGCCCTGCGGGACACACTCGCCTCCACCATAATTTCCACTCGCCAATGGCAAGCAGGCGAGTGGAAATTTCAAGCCCTGATGTATACGCCGTACGTGGCTAAACTTTCTGGAAAAAGGCATGTAATCCATGCGTCTGGAGGTGCGGAGTGGATGAGGATCATGGCGCGTGGGATTCTAAATTATACTAAGTACCAATGAGATACATTGATGGGCACTCAAGTTTCACGAGTTAGAGAACACTTATGTCCCGGACTTATCTGCCATTGCTGCTCGCTGAAGACCAGCCGCTAGAAATAGGAGTAAGCGGTTTAGAGCGGGTTGGGTTGCAGTGAATTGTGTTCAATCCCCATTGGCCCGGAAATTAGGTAGCTTCT